GGAAACAACATACTAAAAATCATTATATACAGTTGTTCAAGGCAGGAAATATTTATAAGGTCACATTATTTACTCCCATGTCTCTACAATAGTTTTAACCTCCTGTATTTTTTCCACTACTTTTCAGAGAGGCAGGGGAAAATACTGAAAGATGCTAGGAGTTGCAGTTGCTCTTCAGGGTCAGTGCTTTGATCCCTAGCAGAACTTCCCATAGTTTGCATTGCCAAAGACCCTCCATTCACTAAGTGCTTTGATCCCTAGCAGAACTTCCCATAGTATGCATTGCCAAAGCCCCTCCATTCACTAGTAATTTACATTATCAAACCACAAAAGCTGGCTACCCAGAACTGATCAGTAAGCAGTTGTCAAAATCCCAGCAAATTGTAATTAAAACTCTTCAGGAGATTGTTAATATTAATGGCAAATTCTGAGCTAAATATGACACTAATTTAAATCAGAAGTAATTTCATTGAAGTCGGTGGAGTCATCTCTCAATTTTAGGGGTGTAATTAAGATCAGGATCTGACCCAGAGTAGTAGGTAGCCAACACTCAGAACAGCATCCAGCCAGAATAAAAAACATAGGGAAGATTCTTAGCTGATGTGCGTCACCATAGTTCCATTGACATGCTGAGCATCTGGCCCTGAACAATGATCTGGTTTATTTTACCCTTATCATATTGTTGAAAATGAACATATGCTGCACATGCATCACTGAGAACCCATTGTGTATATAACTTTTATTAGCAAGCATGCTGTCTAAAGTGTGTGACAGAAACAAGATGAAATTTAGTTCACCCTGACCTATCCCCTCTGGACTCCAAATCATGTTACCCATGGAGGTAATGACAGTGGTTAGTGGTGAAAGGAGAAATCCCTGTTTGAACCCAGAGCTGATATGCAGCACTGTCTGTGTGGGGTACAGGCAGCAGTAGGCATATTTCTGCAATGGTAAAACAGTGAAAGAAATGCAGTCTGCTTCAAGCAGCTGTGACCTCCTGCATCCCAAACTGCTCATAGATTCATAGATTCATAGATGTAGGGTTGGAAGGGACCTTGTAGATCTTCTAGTCTGACCCCCTGCCCTGGGCAGGAGAGAAAATTGGGCTCAAATGACCCCAGCCAGGTAAATGTTGAGCCTTCTCTTAAAGACCCCCAAAGTAGGAGCCAGCACTACTTCCCTTGAAAGTTGGTTCCAGATCCTAGCCGCCCTGACTGTGAAGTAGCGCCTTCTAATGTCTAGTCTAAACCTAGTCTCTAGCAACTTATGGCTATTATTCCTTATTACTCCGGGAGCCGCTTGGGGGAACAAGGTCTCTCCCAAACCCCACTGGTCACCCCTAGTAAGTTTATAGATGGCCACCAGGTCCCCCCACAGCCTTCCCTTGTGAAGGCTGAACAGGTTAAGGTCCCGTAGCCTCTCCTCATAGGGTCTGCCCTGCTGTCCCCGGATCATGCAAGTGGCCCTCCTTTGGACCCTCTCCATGCTGTCCATATCCCTCCTGAAGTGTGGCACCCAGAACTGGATGCAGTACTCCAGCTGTGGCCTGACCAGTGTCGCATAGAGGGGGAGGATCATCTCCTTGGACCTGCTCGTGATGCGTCTGTGGATGCATGACAAGGTCCGGTTAGCCTTACTGACCGGGTTCTCGCATTGGCGGCCCATGTTCATCTTGGAGTCAATAATGACTCCAAGATCTCTTTCTGCCACTGTGCCTTTGAGAAGGAAATTCCCCAGCCTATAGGTATGCTGCTGGTTCCTACTGCCTAAGTGTAGCACCCTGCACTTGTCAGTATTGAATCCCATCCTATTTTCATTTGCCCATCCTGTAACCTGTCCAGGTCCTGCTATAATCTGTCCTTCCCTTCTAGTGTGCCCACCTCGCCCCAAATCTTGGTGTCATCTGCGAATTTAAACAGGCTGCTCTTCAACCCATCGTCCAAGTTGCTAATAAAGAAATTGAACAGTGCCGGCCCGAGGACCGAGCCCTGGGGAACCCCACTGCCCACTTCCCTCCAGGTCAAAAACGACATGTCCATCACCACTCTCTGAGTACGAGCCCTCAGCCAATTTGCGACCCATCTGACTGTGTAGGCATCAATGCCACAGTCACCTAGCTTTTTAATGAGAATGGGGTGGGAGACAGTGTCAAAGGCCTTCCTGTTGCTTGGGTTTATAACTGAGCAAGGGCAATACATGGGAGAGTCCCTGGGAAAAGAGCTCAGAAGAGTGTCTAGAAAAATAACTTTTTAATCTGATTCTGACCCTGATTCCCCTCCTGATTTGACAAGCTTGTGTCAGTGGATCCAGGCTGACAAGCAAGACTACAGTGGCACAGGCCACTTAACAAACCCTGTTCCGCTGGGTACCCAGAGCTACAGGCTCTGCCTCAAAGCTTGTTGAGACAGAATAGCCTGTATTACATCCCTGGGCAGCCCCAGCCTATGGAAAGGTATGGGAGCTTAGATAGAACTGTGAGCTACCTTTGCCAGTTCAGATCCCTTGCAGTGGATGGTTTTAATGGCTGCTGAAGTACAGTTTTCTCCACAGGTGCAAAGGAAGGGAGGGAAGAGGAGATTTGCAACCTTGGGCCTAGGGACACAATGCATTTGGCTTGATTTTCTATATAGCTTGGAAAGGCTACCATCTGATTTTAGCATTTGTGATTCATTGGGCTATATCTAAGTCCTTAACACTTCCCTTAACCTGATGTTTGTTGCCTACTCATGCAGGTCTACAAAGGCTTCATTTAAAGTCCATATGATTGATCCAGCATTGTCAGAAGTATTCAGTCAGTACTAGTGTGTGCCTCAGCACCTCTGAGCCAGACATGGAAGGTGTGAGACTTGGGAAGCCAAAAACGGAGCCATGCAGAAAGGGTCAATAAAAAATGTGTCTGGACTCCCCAGCTCCATCTACCTCGTACCTGCTGCTCTGCCATTTTAGATGCAGTTTAGGACTAGCTTCATTAACCTTCAGGTCTCTGAAGTAGAATCAGTTGAATCCCACCTGGCCTTTGCAGCATTTTCTTCTAAATGAGTATAGATTGAAGAGCAAAGAAGCAACTGGGTGGAAAGATACTGGGTGAAGACAACCCATCCTCATTCTGCATACCTTCTTCCTTCCCCTTCAAATGTTGCACCACAGCCTCTTCCCCATTGCCCAGGGATGTCCTTTTTTTTCTGGCACAAGAGGGCACTGTTCTGTGGCATCTGCAGCAAAGCACAAATCTCTCCCCCTGGATACCTCCTGCCACCTGAACTGAACTCACCTTCAAAGAGGACTTGCTTTCATGGGGGGTGGGGGAAGAGAGGGAGGGAGGGAGGAATCTGTTTCATTATGACCCATCTTTCTGTGTTTCCTGTGCTGGATTGCTATGGAAACAGCACCAAAAAATGTATTATATATGTAGGTCATAATATTAATGAAGAGGGAATTGGGTGGGTGGGTGGCCTGGAGTTTATCAGTAGCATTAGAGGATTCATTTCAGTCCCCTTTAAAGAGGATCTGAACAGCAAAGATAACCAGGATGGAGTGACTCAGGTACTTCCAGGAGTAAAGAGGTCCACAGGCTGCCCCAGCCCTGTGAAAAACAGAAGGGAAGGGGAGCTGGGGGTGAGGGAAGGAGGAAAAGGGGGCAAACTTGCTTGCAGTTCTCAGATACTGGCTCTCGCAGAGCAAGAGGGCATGGGTTATCTCTCCTTAGGTAGAACTGCTCTCGCCTGAAAGCCCCTCCAGCAGACATGCTTCTGCATCCACACTGGGTTTAGGTCTTTCACCACCTGTGCAGGGACAACATTTCTTGGCATGAGGGGTTCAGTGTGACTGGCACTGAACAGAAGGAAGCAGGCAAAGGGTAGAGGCATTGGTTGCCCTTCTTTCCTCCCCCACAACCAGCAAGGGGGCAACCCAAACTTGAACCCTCCCTGCCTTGAATGCTAATGGAGCAAGCTAATTGATGACTGCAATGCAGAGCCTCCAGGTAGCTGTCAAGCAAAGCTGAGGGGTGGAGGGAAGGGAAAGGGCCCAGCTCTTCTGGATGCATGGGTGTCAAGCCCCAGGCATGTTGGCAGGGTCCCAGGAGAGGAGGAGCACGCCTGTTAACCCACAGTATTGAGGGGAAGGGGGAAGGAGGGAAACAGAGCCAAAGTGAAAAGAAATCAGGAGTCTAAATAAACAAGGGGGAAGGCACAGGGTGGGGGATACTCCAGAGAGATCTCTGCCAGGTGATCTCTGGGGCAGGTGAACCTTGAGCCCAGCAAGTCAGGGGCAAACCCACCCTAGACAGCCCTTGCTTCTCCCCCTCTTCAGGGGTCCCATCCAAAAGCCACTGATCTGCCAGGGGCTCCAGTGAGCACTGGATCAGTCCTGCATGGCTTAGGCTTGCCATTGTCTCACAGTTTCATGCCAGCTCTCCTGCCCAGAGAAGCTCATGTGCTCTGATCTGACATGGAAACATCTGATCTGACATGGACACAACCCTTCCATGGCAGGGCAGGATGGTGCCTGCTCCTCACCCTTCTGGGTGAAGGGTTGCAGACAGGGAAAGCTGCCCTCCCCACTTCCTGGAGAGCTGCTTGCTTAACCCCAGGCTGATATAAATGTTATTTCCCCAGTCAGCAAAGAGGAGAGGGGAGGAAGGCAAGAAAGACTTTGTTTTTGATCTAGTGTGAAAGGAATGGAACAAAACAGACCTGGAAAATGTGCCTCCCCCACAAAGGAAGCCTCATTGAACTCAGTGCCATAAGCTCCCAGGTTGGGCAAAGACTGGGGAGCAATTTCATTTGAGTGGAACACTGCTTGATTGGGATTGAAAGGAGTGTGTTTGCTCTACAGCCTGTGTCTGATCGGATCTAGGTCCTAGAGTGTGTCTGATCTGATCCAGGTCCTTTAAGTCTACCAAAGCAGGCTCTTCAGTATGGAGCGGGGGCTAGTCATCAAAGTTATCCCATTCCACTTCCCATCACTTTCTTCCATGGAAGTCACTTGGCAGGAATTGTGCCCCGGCACAAGCATAAATAGAGCTGTGGCCATGTGGCAGGGAGTCCTCCTCTGAGGACAGCTGCAGCCTTTGCACAACTGGGGGGTTAGGATGGAACTGAGCAGGGGGAGGTGGGGGTGAGATCTTGAACGATGGAGGAGGAGAAACTGAGGGGTCTCCACAGCAGGTACTTGCATGGGACCTGGGGGAGGTGGCATGTGTATATGTGGGAGGGGGAAACAAGCAGGTAGGACCCAGCACTGCCATCTTAAAGCAGGCTTTTCCAGGTGTGGAGCCTCACTCTGGTGAGGGACACGTCTGACCCTGTGTAGCCACCAGAATGGCATGGCGATTTGGAGCAGAGGGGTTGAACCCTGCTGAGAGGCTAGCAGCCTGGAGCCCATCACCAGAGCTTGGCATGCACCCCCCCCCCCAAATGTAATTGCCGTGTGCCAAGACAGGCATGCAAGGAGGTCAAGCCCAGATGGAGCAGCACTGGCTATAGCAATCAGGCTGTTTGAATGCAGGCGAGATGAGCTATGGGTGTTTTTTCTGGCATTTTCCTGCCCTCTGGTGCATGATGGATGGGCACCCAGTCCTGCTTCTTGTCCCCCCCCCCCTCACTTTCCCCTTTCCCCACAGTGTTAGAGCCAAGGTAGGGCAGAGACCCTGGGGCTGATCATCCGCAGAATTAAAGTCCCCCAGTCCCTTGGATCCCGGTGGAGCTCGCGGAGAGTCTGGACTAACCCCAGCAGCCAATGTTGGGTGGGTCGCTGATGTGAGAGCACAGGAGATCTCCCGCCTGCCCCACAACTTGGCAGCTCGGACCTGCCTCCCTTCCCTCCCGCTCTCTTTCACGGCAAGACCTGAAAGTTTCAGAGGCAACATCTGCGTGCTCCGGCAAGCCCGGAGATCAACCCGTGCGCGCGGCCGGCTCTGCCCCTCCACCTCCGCGGGGCAGTGGGCAGAGCCAGCGGTGCGGTGCCCGCCGGCAGCTCGGCACAGAGAGGGGACAGTGAAGCTGGCTGGGGGAGCCCCTGGGCGTCCGCCCCCGTGCCCAGCTCGTATCTTCTTGAATGACATGTGTCCATTTATTGCACTTGGATGACATGGGTCCATTTATTGCACTTCGATTTATTCCAGGCATGCTGCACACCCCCGCGCGCTGGCAGGATCTCTCTCTCTTGGCGAGCTCTCTCTCTCTCTCTCTCTCTCTCTCTCTCTCTCTCTCTCTCTCTCTCTCTCTCACACACACACACACACACACACAAGGACATGCAGGAGAGGTCGGTCTCTAGGGCTTGACTGCAAGCCCTAGAGAATTTGCAGATCGTCTCCCAGGCTTGACTACAATAGTGTGGACTGCCCTCGCCCCCCCATGTGAGACAAGGGCACGGCCAGGATCGCCCCTTCCACACAGAGGTGCACGCACCTCTGCTTCTCTCCACCTACCAGCCTCCCCCTTCTCCCTCAATGCCCCGCACATATTCCTCGCTTTTCCCAAAGCATCCTCGCAAACACTGCATCCCCGCTTTTTTGAAGCCAGGTCCGTGGGCGAAGGAAGGGCAGGCGGGACCAGGAAGGGCCAGGTAATCTTTCGCAGAAGTCGCGAATAAACATGTCACCTCTCTAGACAGGAGGGGAAAAATGGCTCGGGGCATGCCACTGTGCGGGAATGCAGCACTTACATAAAAGCCCGTGGTTAGTGGTTGAAAACTGCGAGGGATTCAGGTTACTGCGGCTCCTTTACCCCGCTATACAGCATTTTAGCCTAGATTCGCGGATTATTACTCTCATCATCATGCAGCCCAGGCAGGCAGGTCTTTTGGGGGCAGCTGCTGCTCAGACACTCTGGCTGTCACCCCCTTTAAGAGCTCGCCCCTTTTAGCAAAAAAAGTTTCCTTTTGCTACAGCGGATTTCTCGGATCCCCTAGGGGAAGGATACGACTCCAGACTCAAAGTTTGGGGGGGTTGCGTCTTGCCAGGAGCTGTCTTGTAACAGCAGCAGCTGAATTTCCAAGTCGGCCCCATCAGAGAAACAAAACCCAAAGGAGAAGGGGGGTGGGGGAAGAAAAACAGAAAGGAAAAAGGGAGGGAAAAAAAGTGACAGAAGCAAGGCATCCTACCTGTAAATCCAGTTGCAAGAAGTTGCATCTCATCCCGCTGACGGTGATTTTTTCGGGGGAAGGCGATGATGAAGTCCACCCAGGTCTGGAAGCAGAGAGGCATGCAGGCTGAACAGTCAGAGCCCAGATGCAGCCCCTTTATCTTTCTCTTCCATATCTTCCAACAGGAGGGGTGGAGGGGGAAGGGGTGGGAGGGAGACAGATTACTTGGTGCTCTGATATTGGGGGGTGACGGGGGGCGGGAAGAATAACAGTTTGAAAGCTTTAAGCAAGAGGTGGTCTTGTTCGGGCTGATCGAGTTTGTCACACACGCACACACACACGCGCGCACACACTGCACACTGGCTTCTGGCACTTGGGAGTCTCTGCTTCAGCTCAGGCAAGTTGAACTGCTTTCAGAAAAAAAAATGTAGAGCAACAGTGCTATCAAACCTGGCTTCACGGTTTAGACAAGCCTGGAGGACTTAAAAATAGCAGAGGCTGGGGCTCCTACGTGGGCTGGAAACAACTCATTCTTCTGCCCACCGCAAGAAATGAGGACAAGCTGCCACCTTCCTGGGGCCGGGGGTGGTGGCGGCTGGGCCCGGGGGAGCCTAGGTGAACTGCCCTGGTAGATGTCCTTGTTAGGCTGGGAGTTGGGCTCCTGGCTCGGTGCGTGTGCGTGTGTGTGAGTGCCTTCGATGAGCTGCAATGGGCAGGCAATTTCTGCAGAGCACATTTACAATTTTCTTTCAATATGACAGGATTAGTTGCTGTTGAAGGCTCTCCTCCAATAAGATGCGCACTGCTTTCTGATTTGGTGGCTCCGCTGAATAGAAATTACTGCTTCTTGTTATCTCCCTCTCCCTCTCTCTTTCTCCCTCTCATCAGAAGTCTTTATCTACCATTTGCACATCAGAACCGATTTTTTTTTCAATTACCTTTTTTTCCCCCTTTCCCCCCTACAACCTTCTTCTCTTTCTTTCTGGTTACTTTTTTTTTTTTTTGGTTGCCATTCCGCGATAGCTGGAAGTCTCTAGCTATGCATGGGGAAAGGAGATCTTGCTTTTAGATTATTGCAATCATCTGAGTCTCTGTGCAATGAGGGAAAAATGTTATTACGCTAAATCCAGTTTAGTTTTTAAACAGATTATTGCGCTGAAATATTCATGGGATGTTGCTTCCTTGGCAAAATGACAAACGCATTAGGGAAAAGAGATACATTTTTCGAACAACAGTTAATTCTCCCTGGGTGTAAACTATTCCCTTTTAATTAATAGTCATTAGGCTGAGAAGTGTTTATTTTGCTTTAGGGAACTTGTCAGCTCGGTGCAAATAATCTTGGTATGAACACCTTGCTTTATATTTGCTTGCAGTTGATTTTGTATGGATTTGTGTTATGGGGTGATGGCTTCTCCCTTCTGGGGAGGATGAAATACTGGAGGTAGGAGAAGGAAGCTAATCTGATCTCCGAGCCAAAGCAACATGCCTAACAGGACAGAGCTGGAGAGATACAGAGTATGTGTTTATGAAGGTGACATCAGCTTATGGCTTGGTGTTATGTGCCCTGCATCCTGAGCATCTCACCAGTCATCCCAATATTTTATTACAAATAGCTATCCCGAAGTTAGAAGGACCCAGTGCTCTTAGAGCACAATGTCAGGCAGTGGCAGCATAACGTGAACTGGCTACAATTAGTCACACTATCTGGGCCTCCAGCTAAATCATTTAAAGTAGACTGCAGTTGGTGGCCCGGGTCCCCATTGCCTTATTCCCGGAGAAGCCATGCACTTTAATGGGTATGTTTCTCAGCTTGTGCTTGCCCATTCTGCTAACCCATCTGTTTCATTAAACACCACACAACTGATTTCAGCTGCTGCCTTTGTTCCTGGAAAGATACCAAATACATCTGTAGTAAGAGTCTAAAATATCCGAGGGGAGTGAGGACCAGTGAAGACATTTGAAGTCCTTAACGCTTATCCAATTTCATCCCCCACTACTTGGTAAAGAAAGGGCTGCAGGTTGTTGCCAAGATGATGCATATTTTGGGCCACGTTCCCCGGGAAGTGTTTGAACTTTCCACTCATTTGGTTGTAGGTACAATCACCTGGACACACTGCCCTGGGTTTAGCTGTTAGTGTAACGTGCACTATGGGCAAGGTGGGTACATTCACACCTCATTACTGGGTGGGTTGCTCCTGGCCTTCAACGGGGATATAGGACAATTTAGAAGGGCAGTTTGTTTCCCTTCTCACTCAGGACCTGATCCCAAGCTTAAGTCAATAGCTTTTGTCACCCTTTTGGTTCCAGTGGGTTTTGAATCAAGTCCTCGTATTGGCCATTCAATATTACGACTCCATGGAGTTACTCCTGGATCAGTGGGAAGAAATCCAGGTTCCTAAAGCAGCCGCGGGCCAACATTTGCAACAGTCTTGTTTGCATCAAAGAGCTACAGAAATCCGTACACCCAAAGCTTCAAGTCAGGCTAGATGACTAAGACTTTGGCGTTTAACATTTTTTTAAACATTAATCAAGAGCGTCATTAGGACAAGAAGGGAGAATACACTCCTCTTTTTTCCTACCCCCCAGAAGCACGGAGACTTTGTGCGCGTTGATTCCTGCAGAATTAATCAGAGCTCAGTAATCATATGCACAAATGAGACCTTCCTATAGAGAGAGAGATTTAGAGGTGTGACAACATTGACCCAATGTGAACGGTTCTTCCTTTCTGCGAGCATTTGCAAATGTTCATTCCTTGATTTTCTGACAGGGGGGGAAGGGACTTTGGGGCAGGACCAAAAGGACAGTCCCATCATTATCCCCCCAGACATGCATTCAAGTATAGGGAGGTTGAACACAGTGGGTAATCTTCAGACTAGAGCTTTCTCCACAGAGTGGCTGTAACCAGCTGCAGGGGGCTCCCCAGTGCCATGCTGATTTAATAGAAATCCTATATAGTTTCACAGCTCCGGCATGATGCTAAGGTACAGACACCCAACAGGATCAAACTAAACTAGGACATTGGCTCCTGAACAGACAGCTCAAGAACTGCTTGTTTCACATCAGTCCAACTCCACCCCCCCCCCAAACAAACCAAATAGAAACCCAGAGAAAAGAAAAAGAAAAGAAAAGAAAAGCAATGCCTGCTGCAAATCCTAGTCTATAAAAATCCAAGTTCTTGTCTGCAGGCGTGCCGAGGGAGTATTAAGACTTCTTGTCTCTGAAATGTATAGTACACAATGTTGCTTTCCTAAGGAATTTAGAGGGTTTCCTCCTTCTCACTCTCGGCTGTATTCATAAGCAATTTGAGCAGATACATCTTGATGACATCCAGTGACTCTTTGGTAAACAATGCCTTTTAAGTTTGACAGAGTGTCTGCTATTTCAAAACTCCTCTCTTTAGAGCAGCAAATGTGTTGTACAAATCAAGGAAACACATTTGCTGCTCCGGAGCTTTAAGTATTTAAAATGCAAAAGCCTTACTCTAAAAAGGAAGGGGGGAAAGGGGGGACCTACCAGAGATAAATCCTTCTTAAGACAACAGAGAACGTCTCCTCCTTTCCACTCCCAGAGCACACGCAGATCTTATTCCCACCTCAAACCCCTCCCTAAAATGTTGGCTATAAAGCATGTGTTTATGGAGGAGAGTCTCCTCGCCCTCACCCCTCCAACAGCTTCTGGAGGACGAAATAAAGTTGGTGAAATGTAACTGGTGGCATTGCTCCTAACATGTTCATATATATAGATGGTATATATGTGATATATGTATAACATATGATATATATCCTATATGATAAATGTCTATATAGGCTATGTAGTATATATATGTGTGTGTGTCTGTATATATATGATACATAGTGTATATGTGTGTATGTATATATATATACATGCATACATGTGTACATCTATATAGATCTATATAGATCTATATAGATATCTATATATCTATATACATGTAGATATAGATAAATATATAGATATACATCTATATCTATATATCTATATCTATTAAGTAAGATGAGATCTGCCATTTAGTTTAGAACAGCGACTCAGGGATACTTACCGATTGCTTTCTTTTCGTTTAGAAAGTCAGTCGATGGCTGATCGCTAGTGTGTGTGTGTGCTTGCATGTAAGGCAGAGAGGGGTCTTAATTATGGTGAGAGCAGAAGACAAGCTCCTTATCACCATGATAATATGGGTAAGGGCCACGATGTGGTGGAGCGGACATTCACATGAAGCTATTTGAATAGACATCCGTCTTGATTTTGAATGCTGGGGGCAGGAGAGGTGTCCTGCTCAGCCCTCTGTGAGGTGGCCGCTGTTTGGAGACCAGGAGGAAGCCTTTTTGGTGGATCTCTCTGCTGTAGAGTGCATTGCAGTAGTTCCTTGCTTCAGCGCCTTTATGCTGGAGACAAAGACGGCTTTAAACCCTTTAGAGCCTGAAAGGGAAATCACTTTGTCCTCAGCTTTGCAGAGTGAAGTGCTGGGCTCTTGCCATGAATACACATGCAACAAACACGCCCTGGCTTTAAAGTGTCACTTAATGTCACTTCAAGGACAAACGTGCTCGTGTTCTGGGAAAGGAATTGAGTAGAGGGGAAGGTGACTGAAGCCCTCACATTTCTCAGCTTGCTTTTCCCTTTAGCAAAGAGCTACTGGTGGCATCTGAGCTTTCAAAAACCAGAGGATCGCAACGAGCCCCACTCGCAGTTGCTTCACCCAGCGCACCAGTTTTCGACTGGAGCAGAGGGAGAGGGCTTGCAGACTCCATGCTGCAGGTCTATTGGCTTCACTCCACTTAGTCGGCCACTATTTGCCCTTTATCACACTTAACGATAAGAAGCAAGTGCCTTCAAGTTCAGCCCAACCCAGAGTGTTGATCTTGTTTCTCATTCTTTCTTTTCTTTTAACCTACAGGTATTGTGTTCTCTGTATAGCAGACTACACTCATGGGGTTGGCAAACTTACATCGACCAGGTATGCAGGAGCTGTGGGCAATCCAATTCCTGAACTGCAAGCTGCTCACCTTAACATCACCAGTGCCAGGAGCGAGTGTTTTAAATGGGACGCCCTTGTGAATACCAGCATTCAACCAGGACTCGTGGTCTTTTATTAGACCAAATAGATTTTTTGAAAAAAAAATCACCTCTACCACGAGTCCTGATTGCTTTTTCCTCTAGACCATAAACGGCTACAACCTGGATACCTGGCACATGGAAGCATTCAACCATGCACCCATTCACTGGATTTATTTGGTCGAGAAGAATTCCTCCAGAAAATACCGGTGCCTCTCTAGCAAGCATCATTTCAAGGCGCAGCACATTGTCCCAGCATCTCCTGGTTGGATTTTGCCAGTGCTGTAACTTAACATTTCACGGGCCAAGGGAGGAGACTAAACAGGCAGAGAGGAAGAAGGAACACACACTCTTGATGAAAGCACTCGATTCCCCCTTCCCTCAGATGCCTTTTCCTTGTGCCTGTTGGACTTAGATAGCTTTTC